CATGCCGTGAAGGTTGAACCGGGGCATTTAGGAATGGAGCCGGGAAACGCTGTCGCCCCTGTCCCAGCAGTCTGTCCTCTGCCTCTTTGAACTACAATGGAAACGCTTCTCGGCTCTCTGTTGTTCAGAGACGTGCTGGTAACTGTTCACCTGCCTGGGGTGTGAGCTCTGCCTGTCAGACTCGTGCCGCGGCCTGCGGCGGTGCGGTCTGGGCAAGCGCAGTGAAATGAGGGGGAGCACTGGGGCGTGCTACCCGGCTCGGCCACATCACGCCGGGGACACTTCTGGCTGCTCCCCGGTCTGCCACGTGGGGCACCTGCATGCTGCCTCGCTGCCTTGGGGGATGTGGCCATGAGCACGTAACCAGAGCAGGTGCAGGTGCCGGAGGGGGATTCAGAGCGTCCTCCGGGGGTTTGCATCTCCGGAGGAGGAAATGAAGATGTCCCCGAGGTGAGCCTCGGCCCCTGCAGGCGCCCCGCCTCCCCGTCGCCCTCGTAGACCTCCGGCTGAGGCACGCCGAGGTGGGCGCCGTGGTTAGTGGGCACGGCTCATTGGCGAGTTCCTGAGGCCGGGCCTTTCGGAGCACTGCTGCCCTCGGGTTGGCTCCCTCCTGTGACCCTCACAGGCGACGGGAGCACTTCATTCCCGCCGGCCTGGCCGGGGGCAGGGTCGGTGACTTCGTACCGCAGGTGGACATGCGTGTCGTTGGAGGAAAACCTTAGGACATGGCAGGTCTGACTAAGGTGAACTGGAGGAGTGATCTGTGGTCCTACAAGAGGCCTTGACTGCGGCAGAGTCTTTGAAATAATGCATCAAAAGTAGGAGCGTGGCTTTCATGCAAATGCTGTTTTGTGTGACGTTTGGCATCGCATCGCTGCCCAGGCAGGTCAGCCGGAGCCTCGGGAGGGAGTCGGGAGTTGCCCGGGCAAGCTCCCTCGGGGCTCCCAGCAGGAGCACTGCACCTGGCATGGGGCCTGGTGTTCTGCCCACAGCTGTGCGGACGCCCATGCTGCCTGGGTATGAGTAGAAAGTGAACTTGGTCTTGGGATTGCTTTGCAGCAGCATTGGCCCGCCAGCTGGGAGCAGCAGTGGATGGCGGAGCCACGTACAGTCCAAGCTGAGATGCTGGGTGACTGGTCCTTGGCTTCACGGTGGACAGGGGTCCTTGTCCTGCAGCCTGTCTCCTTTGTTGCCTTTAAAACTGTTTCGATGGATTGGTTATGAATGGGCAGAGGGATGGTGGTCCTCCCTGGGTACCGCTGGCTACTCTCTGTCCCCACCCCCACCTTCTCACCTGTGGTACGGTGGCCCTCAGCTCCGTCCCAGAGATGCCGGGCCAGACCCTGGGAATGCCAACGCCATCCTGGGGACCCTGCATCCTCCCCTGCCTGAACCTGGGGCTTCCTCTCTGTCAGAGTTCTTTTTGGTCTCAGCCCAGAATCCAGGCTCCTGTGATGTCACCACTGAAAGGTAGACCCAAAGTTCAGGACATCTTAGGCATTTGGTGTTGAAACCATGTAAGAAGGGAGCTGTTGAGAGAGTTAAAAAATTCTTTGGAGTGATGCCGGGCGTGGGGTGCGGTGCTCACATGGTCGTTGGCCCTGCCGTTGCGATGGGTCTGTGGGCTGCAGCCTGCAGTGTGCTCCGGGTGCAGCTGCGTCCTTGGTTCTCACATGTGGCTGGTCTCCCCACCACACTGGCTCGGGTTGTGAAGACGGAGGCAGGCGTGTGACACCTTGTTTGGTTCCGTGGTGGCAGTGGATGAGCCTCCTTGTCTCCGAGCTGGAGGCCTGGGGTGTCCGGGCAGCTTTCCCGGGCTGGCTCCTCTCTCTGCAGGAGAGGAAGGCTGCCCTGCCGGGCAGGTGGGCAGTGCCAGCCTCCTCACCAGATCCACCACCTGCTTCTCCGGTTTGGGATGAGAGCCTGTTTTGCTGTGGTGGTTCCAGCATTAAGATGTAATTAATTCCCTAGTGTAACTGGGACGTGTTACTTAGGCTGGAAGTTGTAAACGGTCCTCTGGGTGGCCGGTGCCGTGTCGTCATCCTCGTGCTCCAGGCTGCTGCACCCGGGGGCGTCGGGCTGTGCAGCACCCCAGCTCCTGCCCTGCACGTGGGCCGGCATCTTCCTCCCTGCTGGCTGCTCCCAGCCTGCGGGGGTCCCCAGAGACCCTGCTCTCCTGCTGACCAGGTGAGCCAGTGTCTCCAGGGCCACTGTCCCAGGGAGGCTGGGAGCCCATGAGTCCTCCATCCTCCTGTTTTATTTTTCAGGGACTGTCATTGGAGGGAACACCCTGGAGCTTCACATTGTTTTCTATTGTGGTTTATTGTGAGAAGTCAGATGCTCACGGGTTGTCTAGAACACGATTTTGACTGGACTGTTTGCTCCCTCCGCAGGGCAGGGCCCTTGGACCTCCTGCCGTTACTCAGGCTGGTCTTCTGGAGTGTCCTCCTTTCCTTCCCGAGAACGCGGTTGGGCCCTGGGCCTTCCTTCCCGGCCCTCCTTCCTTCTCTGCCCTCACGTTTCCCTGTGTGGCCCTGGTCGTAGGGTTCTGTTCGGCTGTCTGGCTCTCTGTCCCTCACCAGGGTGAGCTCCGTAGGTGCTCACGCTGCATTTTTTTTTTTTTTTTTTTTTTTTTTTTGACGGAAGGAGCCTCCGTATCTTGGCTCCACTCTGCTGCCCACGGTGAAACCGGCCTGTATTTCTCTGGAATGTTAGGGGTTTTTCTGTCCTTGAGGTGCGAACCTGTCCCCGGTCCCCAAGGTGGGGCAGCGGCCGTCCTCACTCACGGAGGGCAGCGCCACAGGGGCCCTCAGATGGGCGGGAGTGGCTGTGCCGCACTTGGTGCCGGTGCCACGGGACTGCCCACCAGGCCCGGTGAGTGCAGGCATGGGCGTCCCAGTTGGAGCCCAGGGCCCTGCCTCCCCTCCCTCTCCGGCAGGCCTGGGCTGCGGGAGCCCGCACCCTGCAGGGGGAAGGGCAGACTGTCAGGAATGGGTTCCTGGAGTGGGACACAGAACTGATGGTGAAGGAGTCCCTGCAGACACGTGGGCTGGCCTTAAAGTTTGTTTTTTCCGATACAGTTCCTGATCTAGACCATGGGGGATGAATTCCCCTACAGGGATGGCCCTGCACTCAGGTGCCTGTGAGCCTGTGCGAGCAACAGGCAACTGTGTGATGCACAACTTGTGTCTGAAGTATTTTTATGATTTAGAATAAAAGCGCGTTCCTCGACTCGAATCTAAAGGGTGCTGTTTTCACGTAGAGTGTGACGGACCAGGAATGAGAGGCTGCGGGAGTCAGCTCAGGCTGCTGTGCCAAAGGACCACACGGGGCCTTAAACAATGGAAACGTGTTTCTTCCCCGCCCCGGAGGCCTGCAGTCTGCGGGCTCGTGCTGGCTGGGCCGTGGGGTCTGCGTGACGCTGATGGCCGGGCCCTGGCGGGACGTCCACCCGGCGTGGCTCTCGTGCCTCCGGCCCTGTGGGAGCGTCGTCGGGCCCAGAGCACGGGGAGCTCGCTCTGTGGTGCAGGGGTTGGAGGCAGCGAGCCTGCGGAAGCAGGATGCCCCTCCATCCAGCTGCCTTGAGGTGGGGCTAGACCCTCGGAGCCGGCAGCGGCTTCGGTGGCTGTGCCAGCTATCGGGGGTTTTCTGGGCTGGCACAGCCCTTGGAATCCGTGGTAATGGCTTCCTCTGTTGAATATTATCCAAAAGCAATTGTCCGCTGGCTTAAAAGCGTGGGCTGTGTTGTCACGCGTGCTGTCTGAGGGGGCAGGCGGTCTAGCTCCTTACTGAGATGTTGCAGCAACTTCTCATCTGTCAGCGGTGGGGCGCCGGGGCAGGGGGCGGGCGCTGTATTCCTTTAGCCACAAATCCCCGCACCAACCCCTCCCAGCACATCTTTGGATCCCCTGCGTGTCCTTTCCATCTGAGATCAGAGCAGAGCTCTAGACACGGGCAGACCTCCTCGGGGAGACCTCCTCTCTCGTGGTGTGACTTGTCCTTTGCCACGTCCCCTGCTGCCCTAGGTTGGGGGGTACGACGGGGTGAGGGGTGGGGGGGGAGGGCTGGGGAAGCCTCCTCCTCAGACACTGTGGCTCTGGAATAGGACATTGGCTGAGTCTGTCCCCATGTGACCGGCCCCCTGGTTGGTGTCATTTTTCACCCCATTCTCTGTCCTGCTGAGGCCACATTGGCCACCTGGCTGCCATGACATTTCCCCTCAAAGTGCTTGCTGAGCCCGGCACTGCACACCCTTTCTTCATTTTAGTAAGCCGTGGTTTTATTTTGAATAAGCCTCTTTCAACCTACTAATATTAGTCGGAACTAAAACCTCCCCCAAATGCTTCTCACACAGAAGAAGCCAAGTGATTTTGAAAGTTAAAACAAAGCCACCTGGGGTGTGACAGATAAAATCGGGCTGTGATTTGGGAGTCTGCGGGGCCTGCCGGCCGGCCGGCCGGCTTCCTCATCTGCCTTATTGCTGCCCTGCTCGGGCCCAGTGCCCAGGGACTTGTGGAAACAGTCGCGAAGGGGACTGCCTGGCAGCTGCTGTGTGGATGGCCTGGGTCTGAGACTGGACCCTCCTTACAGCCCCCAGAAGGTCACCCTTTGGGGAGTCTGAGACACACGTGGGCCGTAGCCACTTCATACCTGCCAGGCTCATTCTTCCCTCCCTGGGCCTGTCCCTCTTGGCGGGCACCAGCTCCAGGGGCCCAGGCAGGGGCTCTCCTGCACCAGGCGGTGCCCACTCCCAGCGGCCAGCGAGGGCATCGCCTGTGACAGGAACACGAAGGCGCCAGGATTTGCTCTGCTTTCCCAAACAGCCTTCTGGTTGCTTTATTTCCCTTTGGGAAAGACCCTGCGGCGTGCCTGCTCTTTGTGGAGGCAGCGGGTGGCGAGGCCTCCCTCCGCCGGCCCCGGCTGGGGGAGGGCTGCTGGAACGGGGCTGGTTCAGGTCCGTGAGGCTGAGAAAGTAAGCAGCTCCCCTCTTGTTGTTCCAGGACTTCATGAACGATTACCAGGAAGCAGGAGGCCACCCCTACATGGTGGTCTTACGACTGCTGCGTTACATCCTCCGTCTGGTGTGGAGGATGCAGTGACGACGGGTTCCCATGGAGCCAAGATGTGTGCAGACATTTCACTTGTTGGAGCGGACAAGCCCAGCGTCCGGCCTCCTGTCGCCATCGCTCCGCGGCCAGCGGTGGTCCCAGAGCGGCGGTGTGGCCGGACACCTGGGGCTGCGTGCGGACTTGACCTTATGGGTTCCTCGCCCTGTGGCAGAAGCTCTAGTGTAGTTTGTTATGAATGTAAATGAGAGAGTATTTTCTTTTTAAAAATGTTACTGATCATGGTTCTTTGGAGCAGGATTTTATGCAAGAATGGTGTAAGAACACGTTTTTTAAAAGAAAAGGAAATGGGAATTTTTAACCAACTTCATAAATGAATTTTTACTAAAAATTTAAGAACCTATTATGGAAACTCGTGTGGGAACTGAGCCAGCTGATTTCTAAGGCTGCCTCAGTTTATTTTTACAGGCTACTGTACAGGACTTTTAAACATGAGAGGTGTGTATGATATGGCCCCTCCCTCCCTGCCGTTGCCTCTCTCGCCTTCTTTTAATCGTTATTACCAAAAAGTTCTTATGAGATGGAACTGATCAAAGGGGTAAAGGACCTTTGGTCAGCCTGTGTTCGTATGCCACTTCCACTGTGTAAATATTGACTTACCTCCTTAAATGTAATTGCATCTGTGGCTTCTCTGTGTGTGTGCTCGTCTTCCCCCTGCGATGCTCCTCTGTCTGTCCTGGGTGCTGACGCACACATTTGGTCCAGGGCATCTTGACGATCAAGTGTAACTGGGCCAGAATGTGACTTGGGATCTGCCTGTGTCCACAGCTCAGCCAGTCTTGGGGGAGCTTACTAACCGGGAAATGCGTGGTACTGGTTTCCCCGTGGTTTGGTGGGCTGGCGTGGAAGTACAGGTGTCCTGAAGAGAAAGTGTGGTGGCAGCAGACACAGTATCAGGGCCCTTGGCACTGTTGGCTTTTCCGGTTGCAGGTTTTCCCTCAGCTCAGGAGGCACTCTCAGCATGAGGCCCTGGCTGGCTGGCAAGCCCACCTGCGGCTGAATTGGGCAGCAGGAGTCCAAGCTGGAGTCCTCGTGGGAATTGGCACAGGCCGTGGGCAGGGCTTTGGATGGCTGCTTCCTGGCCATCCTGGCTTTTCATCCAATTCCAAGCCGATCTGGCCTTGGATGCCCACCACTGGTTCCCACTCTTCTGTACCCACTTGGAAATGCAGGCTTCCTTCCCCTCTGTGCAGCGCCAGTAAAACGCGAGGCGCACAGGCCTGCAGCGGTCCCTCCCACGGCTGTCTGACTGTTCTTTTCTCCTGGACGGCGGCTCTACCGGGCCTCCTCTGCTGCCCTGCTCCCTCCACCCCCACCCGTGAGGGCTGCAGCGAGGCACCCACGGGTGATCAGTCATTTCAAAGGCCGTTAAACAGCGGGGAGACCCGAGAGAGACCAGTTAGAGGGCAGGTAAGGAAGGTGCAGATCATTCTGTGAACCCACAACTCCTACAGTTTTTCAAACCTCAGATCATGAAATAGTTTTTTAAAGAGAAATATATGATTTTTCAAATGAGTCAGCAGTGCCAACAGCTATTGCATTTCCTTTTGACCCATCAAGGACCAGCATTTTCACATAATTAAATTGCAAGGAGAAACTCATTCATTCGTGTGTCTCTTCATCGTTTTGTGTAAATATGTATGTATACCTATATGTATATACGTGCGTGTATATATATTTTGCATATACGCTTTCTTTATGTAGAAATATTTGATCTCAGATGTCCTTCCTTTTTTTAAAATTTCTTTTTCCCCGAATCCTTTCTTAGGGTCTTGAATATTTTGAAAACTGTTGAGACTGAGCGTGTGTTCTCGGTAGGTCTGGAACCCCCTTGCTGGGGCACAAAGGCCACACCGCTGGAGGTGCTGGTGACATTTCGGCCGTGGGCCTGCGGGACACACACACCAAAGATGTATTTGGTTCTGGGCCCATCCGCCCCCAGGATCTCCGTACTCATGTCCAGTCCCTCTGACTGGAGCACTTTACCTGGCAGCCCGGGCCGAGGGCCCGCTGTGCGCTCCTTTACCTCTGGCCTGGCAGCTGGCCGTGGCCACGCGTGAGGAAGTGATTCCGGGACGTGTAGAAGTATTAAGAACAGGATGTTGCCCCAGGACCTGAGAGATGGCTGGGTGTCTGTACTGTACGTGTCTGTGTATCAAGATGCTTCCTGCAGAAAGTATACCTACGACGGTATGCCTTTTACTTTTATATTTTATTATTTTGTAGAAGAAAAATAACTAGCTCCCATTCTGAAAATTTATGAGATGCGGGTTTTGTGCCTTGACCACCTCTTCTCATGTGAGATTTATAGAAAGTGTCCTGTGATGATCACAGAAATGCAATAAATTCCCCCCAGGAACTCCACGGTGATTGTTCCAGTTTTACTCGTCGTCCAGCCTAGAAATGAGTTTATGAAGAATTTGTTTTTAGTTGTGGAGAAACCAGGTAAAAATTCCTTCTGATTTAAAAAAACAAAACAAAAAAATGTACTCAGTCAAACCGTCTCCTGTTTCCCCTTCTTAATATTGTACATATTTCGACTATTTATTAGATTAGATCCTATTTTACTTACCAACTGAGCCAGATGTCTGTGCAATTGTCTCCTTCACCTTTCTTGTAAAATTTTGTACAGCATAAATGAGAAAAAAAAAAAAAAAATCACTGTTTTTTACTAAACTTTTCCAGAATTAAGGATTGTAAATATTGTAGATTCTTTTTCTGTGTAATGTGTCCTACTGGTTCATAATGCTGTAACTTGTAGACATAATGTATATTTATTTCCTGCTTATTTAATGTCTTAAGTTCTGTAAAGTGTTGACCTCTGACACGCCTCCCCTCCCCCCATCCTGTTATTTTCTTTAACTCTGAGGTGGCGACTGGTCAGCTCACTGCCAGACACATGGTCTTCCTAGGGTGGCCTGCAGCTTTGGTTCCTGGTATATCTGGTCAATGGGTTTACATTCTTGGTCTTGGCTGTCCCTTGAGAAAGCTCGTTTAGACACCAATGAGAGACCATAAATCGGGCAGGCTTCAAAACTCTGGGAAATACCCAGTGACTTTCTATTGGTTCCAAAACAGCTAGCTTCTCATGGAAGCAGGTTCTATTAGCTCCAGGATTTGTCTTAAAAAAATAAAAAGTGTTATCAGGTAGTTGGGACGGATTTAAAATTTATACCTGACAGCTCAGTATTCAGAGGGCAGGGGACAGGTAGGAGGGTTCCTGCTTCCAGAGCGACTGGAGGACCTCCTCGTGCCACTTGCCCCCTGTTGGCAACTGGCGAGCTGCACCACCTCCACCCTTCCAGGTGTGGACCGAATTGTCCTCAGGAGCTAATTGTACAGGCCCCTGGCCCCAAACTTTGGTCCCTCATTGGGTCAGCCTGCTGCTTCAGGTTGATGTCCTGTTTCGGGAGAGGTTGGAGGCCCCCTGGGATGGGTGTTAAGATGTGGGAGCTTTAGAGAGGCTTCTTCCTGGTTTGGTGTAGATGGTCTGTCACCCCTGCTGACTTAGCCTGGTGCCTGCGTGTGTTCACTGTACACGTGCGTGTGTGCGGGGATGTGTTCACACATGAGGCTAAACCAGCTGGGGTGGCTTCTACTCCAAACGGTGCAAGAGCATCTTGCAGCTCCCAGCGAAGTAACTTGACTACTTGTAGTGGGCAGTTCCAGACTTGAGAAGCTCTCCGAGTCCTATGTCCAGGTCCCGTGACCACTCGTCACTGTCGGAACTCATCAGGTACTCCTGTACAAGAGCACTGATCTGTGTGGACACTGATTCATCACTAATGTGTTCCTAGGACCCAGCGTATGTAGCGTTCGTATTGCAATTTCCCTGGCTTACTTTGGTTTGCACTGATGAATTTTGACAGGGTAATTGCCACTTTATTGTGCAATACTGCTGTAAATAGTTGCAGATTTTTTTTTTTAAGAAACTCAATCTTTTTATGTTCTTACTGAATTTTATATAAATAAAACTTTTCAACTGTTTTTTAGTAAACTCTTTGATTCGTTTCACAAGACGGTGGTGGGACAGCTGGAATTGTATGTGAACGTGTACACGCCCACACCCACCCTTTGCCAGCCACAGAGTGTATCACCTGCCTGTGGGTTTTATGAGTTCTCGCTTGGAGATGATCCTGCGTATTATATTTGAAAGCAAGCCACTGTAGAGGTTTGAGGTGGCTGGCGAGACAATGCAGTGTTGACTCACGTGTTCAGATATGACTCAGCACCTGGTAGAGGAGGTATCGGGAGCTGGCTCCAAACCATGTTGGTGAGTGATGATGGCAGAGACCCTGTCATCTCACTCCTGCTCAAAGCTGGAAGAAAAACCCAAAAGCTGGAATCCAGGAGAAAGGGCTGCAGCACCTGCCCAGGCCTCAGAGAACTGCCAAAGAGGGCCCCGTGAACTGACCGTGCTGCCCATAGAGGGCCCACTGAGTGTCTGGCCTGTGCGGGGCATTGGAGGTGAGCCAGTTTGGGGGTGCAGAAATTAAAGGCTGATTTGGGGATGTAAACTACAAAGTCCTGTAATTGCATAACTTGCCACTTGTACTCTGAAGGAAGTGCTGGAAAGGTTAAAGACTGTGGCTGAGTTTTAAGCAATACACGAATTTGGCCTTGTAATTAGGTGTGTGTGTGTGTGTGTGTGTGTGTGTGTGTACATTTATTATTTCAAATCAAGTTGTTCTGGCTCCCAGCCTACTTCCTCTCTAAGGCAGGAGAGTGAATTTTTCCAGACTTTTCTCTGCAGGCTGTGTGCGCGTGCACACTGTGTGTGTGTGTGTGTGTGTGTGTGTGTGTGTGTACGAACAGAGGTTTCTAGTGGGTTCCTCATTTTTCCTATTGAGAGTTAGCTCTTTGTATTCTGGGTAAAAATCTCATGTTGGAAATATTTCCCTTGCAGTCTGTTGCTTCCAGTTTTTTCTCCAACATTATGAAGAGATGGGGAAGGGGCCCGAGCTGGGCCCATG